CCCACACAATCACCACAGCACAACAAGATAACAACACAATAGACCATATCTTAACCAAGACAGACCACAGAACACACACAACCGTACCACCACCCACACGCCGCCGCCAACAACTGGTCCCTCCTACAATCTGCACGGTATGTCAGACAAGGATATTCCGTAATGTGACATCAGTCAAGTGCAACACCTGGGGGGCTATTCTCTGTTGCGATTCTAAAAGCAAAATATCAGAATTCATACATTTGACACTGTAAAAGCGATCTTCGAATTTCTTTTTTTCCCTTTTTTTGCTTTTTCGCATTTGTGGCACTCTGTATCGCGAAATGAAATGTCAAAAGCTTTCGAAAGTGGCAAATTTTATTCGACAACTGCCTAGCGCGCGCAAATCAAGCGAAAATGTAAGTAATCAAAAATAACTTACTTATTTTGTTAGAAAAATAATAAAAAAAAATCCAATTTTTACAGGGAATCCAACGATAAAACGGCACACACCAAACTTGCGCAGTTCGAATTAATGGTGGATTTTATGGAAGAACATCCGCAGTTGGCCAAAGGGCAGTTAAAGACTTCCAATGCCAAAGCAAGTGCCAACATTTTGTGGAAGCGGTTAATGGAGGACCTCAATAGTTGTGCACAACCTACGCGTGATGTGGCTGGGTGGAAAAGAGTAAGCAATATATACTTAGTAGTTGCAATTTGGAAGTTATAGCAAAGAATTATAGGTATGGGCTGACTATAAGAACCATCTCAAAGCTAAAATGCGAAGGAACAAACAAAGTAATTCCAATACGGGTGATGGACCGTCTAGGTATCAACATTTCACACCAGTGGAAGAAAGAGTCATTCAATTAATGTCTATTGATGAGGCGGTGAGTGGCAGTAGTAACTCCGAGAGATTTGGTTCCGTTGATTGTGGTGTGGATCACAACATGTGAGTGGATGAAACATCTTACACTGTAGACAAAAGTACTCCGGTGCATGATGAAAGTTTCGTGTAGAACCCAGTGACACCATGTCCTCAGTCTGCAACACCGCTTCGTCAGTCTGCAACACCACGTCGTCGGTCTGCAATGAATCTAGTTGGACACGAGCAGCTCTCAAAGAAGCAAGTGGAGAATCAAATACTCTACCAAGAGAATTCTATTAACAAGCTCAATGAAATACATTCCTTTTTAAAAGATATTAACAGAAATTTAGGAAAAACGAGAGAAATTGAAGAAAATAAATATAAATTACTTAAGCTAAAATTTGAGCACGAGCAGAAGATTAATATTGAAAACCTCGAACTTAAGCGCGAGAAGCTAAACATAAAAAAGGAAATGCTCCAAATTAGTCGGTCTTAAAGATTATTATTGTACCTTACATATTATTATTATTGTCACTCATTATTTATGTAACTTAACTGTTAATTGGCATGTACTTATTATTTTTATAACTTAACTGTGACTGATGAGCTCATAACTTCGTCGCATTTGGCCTGCTAATAGCATTGCTTTTCGAATCGCAATAGAGAGTAGCCCCCCTGCCTTGGCTGGTGCCACTTTAGGGCATGCTCAGGTCTGCACACGACGCGAGATTGGACGAGGAACTTCGAGGGCCCGTGTTGCGACGCTCGGTCGCAGATCTCAACTGCGACGCCATCCACCACCACCACAGGGCGGCAACCACCTCAGCAGCGCACACAGCCAATGGCGTCACCGCCACACACATCTCCCACACCCCGCATCACCACACGTCTCCCGAACCACATGAATCTCCTTCAATTTAACTGTAACGGCGGGCTACAGAGCAAGATCGAGGAGACAACCGTCTTCATGGGAAGGCATGGTATATTGACAGCTGCGGTCCAAGAGACGAAGTTGCACGGATACAACGTGCAGCGTCGAGATCGCGAGCGAGATAATGGTGGTGGCCTAGCGTTCATCACGCACCACGAAGCAGACATCGACCGCAGGGATACCACCCTAGAATGTCAGGGCATTGCTATCCAATCAGGCGATGTTGAGCTCGAAATATTTAACGTGTATATACCCCCTGTCACCTGCTGCCCGGCAGGATATCACCCTGACATAGGTGCGCTCCTCAGAGGTGAGTAGTAGGTGACTTTAATGCGCACCACGATATTTGGCACTCAAGCCAGTCAAACGATCGTAGGGGAACTGACTTGGCTGAGCAGATAGACCATTCGACATTCTGCACAATGAACGACGACGCACCCACCAGGATTATGGGCAGCTGCTGCAGCTCGCCAGACATAACAATAGTCAGCGCTGGTCTGATAAACAGGATTTCATGCCGAGCCATGCTGACTTTGGCATCAGACCATCTGCCCATAGTCATCTCGATCGATAAACCAACTGACTTTGCTTCCGCGGAACACCGAACCTATATCAAATTTTCTAAAGCTGATTGGAAAGGCTTCGCGGAATTTACTGAAAACACCCTCGCTGCTCTCCCCACACCAACCGACGTCCACCTTGGTGAACGTATGTTCCGTAGGGCTGTCACCGCTGCTGCAGCTCGCTTCGTACCGGCAGGATGTATTACGGACCCACGTTCAAATTTCCCTGCTGAAGCGTCTGTTCTAGCCGATGAGCGTGATAGCCTTCGTCAGGCCGATCCCGGAGATCCCCGTACCAGCAATCACGACGCGGAGATTCGGCAACTAGTGAACGTACATAAACGGAGGAAGTGGGAAGAGCATCTGAAGACCTGTAACTTCACCTCTGGTGTGAGTAAGCTGTGGTCAACCGTGAGATCACTGTCCAATCCGACGAAGCACGACGACAGTCGAAATTTCTTTCGGCGACCATGCTTCGTCGGACCCGGAGCGATGCGCGAGCTATTTTAGACGGCAGTTCATATTGCATCCTCTGGTGGACAAAGCCAAGCGTGGAGTGACCAAAAGGCTGGAGAAACTGCCAACAACTTGTGCCCCCTTGCTTTCACGTGCGGTGAAGTTCAGGTGGCTATCGGGAAGGCGAAAGCCTCCAAAGCCATGGGTCCCGACGGAATATGCATGCTGATGCTGAAAAATTTGGGTCCTGCGGGGGTAGCGTACCTAACGGAGGTCCTCAACTTGTCAATGGCCACTCTCATCATCCCAGACATCTGGAAGGTGGGGAGAGTGGTCCCACTGCTCAAACCGGGGAAACCTGCCAACAAAGGAGATTCGTATCGGCCGATAACACTCCTTTCCCCGGTAGGGAAGACACTCGAGGCCTTGCTGCTCCCGTATTTCACGAACCACCTGACCCCAGCGAAGCATCAGCATGGTTTCCGTAAAGTGCACAGTACAACAACAGCACTTAACGCCATAAATACTCAGATAACTCGTGGTCTTAACCGTAACCGTCCCTGTGAGAGAACGATTCTAGTAGCGTTGGACTTGTCAAAGGCGTTTGACACTGTCAGCCATTCCACGCTACTAGAAGATATAGAGGCTTCATCTCTCCCACAGAGCCTCAAACGGTGGTCGGAAAATTATCTGAGTGGTCGACACTCGTCGGTAATGTTTAAAGACAAATCGAGTAAACTCAGAAAAATAAAACAGGGGGTTCCACAGGGTGGTGTCCTTTCCCCGCTACGGTTTAACTTTTACATTTCAAATCTCCCTCAACCACCAGAGGGAGTGTCAATTGTCTCTTAAGCCGACGATTGCTCGATCATGGCGACGGAATTGATGACCTGTGCTCGAAAGTAAACGGGTATCTCTGCGATCTTTCTCGCTTCTTCACTGCAAAGTGTCAAGCCCTCACCCCTACGAAATCCTCTGCGACCTTGTTCACAACCTGGACGAAGGAGGTCAGGCTACCGCTGGGAATTCACGTCGATGATACACCAATTCCGACGGTAAATAACCCCTTGGTACTTGGGACAAAGACAAAGAAACGTTGTTGGCAACATACAAGGCAATAGGCCGGCCGGTTTTACACTACGCGACTACGAGACTAGTAGGACGCAGTAGATGAAGCTACAGACAGTACAGAACACCGCTTTTAGGACAGCGACTGGATGTCTCCTGATGTCACCAGAACATCACCTTCACAACGAGGCACAAATGCTCCCAATCAAGGAGCTCAACATAATGCAAGCAGTTTGTGATCGGGAGCCACAGAAGTGGCCACCCGAACGGACAGCTGTTTGCAGAGGAGCCCTCGCCTAGGCACGTAAGGAGGCATCTATACGAACTGACGGACGAAGTCCAGAGGTTCATCAAGCAGCCTCTGGACCCGTCAGCATACTGACTGGCCCTGAACGGCATTCACAGGGAGTCAGTCTCGAGTTATGTAGACTCTAGACCTGTGAGTGCCGTTCTAGGCACACCACCGCCGGACATAGACGAGACGGAGCTTCATCAGCCGCGGGAGACAAGAACCACAATAGCCCAACTTCGCTCTGGCTCCTGCAGCAGGTTAATCTCATACCTGAGTAGACTGAATGCGGATGTGCCAGATGAGTGTCCGGCATGCGGAGAGACCCTCGTGACTCGAAACATCTCTTCGCATGCCCGGAAAACCCGACAACCCTAACGGCCTTGTCCCTGTGGACAAACCCCACAGAAGCTGCACGCTTCCTAGGGTTGCCGTTAGTGGAACTTGACGACAACGACTGAGATACCAACCGTCCTGGGCGGGGTTGTTGTAGCCGCTACAACAACAACAACAACCGCGCCTTTTTCGTTTTCTTTGTTTGTTTTCATTCTTAGGCACACGTCAAACACGCTCAGAAATTCACTGTTTTCATTCTCTTCCGATTGCGTGATCTTGTTAGTTGTTTCATGAATACGTGCCATCGTTGTATTTGTTATCGAATTTCAAAAAAAAGTTTTCGTAGCGTTTTTGATGTTTTCCCGTTTTGTTTACATTGTCTTCTATCGCTTCGGAATGGCTTTTTTAGCAATTTTATGTGTTTTATGAGCGATTTTAGTATTAGTTTTGATTTATTACAAATTTATGGTATAAAATGAAGTGCTTTGTGATTGGAACAAGTTTGTGCGGTTGTTTGGTCTGCCAAAACGCCTAAATTTTCGTGAAAAGTAGGTGCACGTTGTGGCTTTTGTTTGGTCTGCCAAAAGGCATAAATTTTCGTGAAAAGTGGGTGCACGTTTGTGGCTAAAACGTTGGAATTGAAAAATCGACCCGTGCTGATGATATGCGATTATAAAATAGTCTCAATCATGAAAACCACATTTTATGAACTTTTTTTGCTAATTGTCATCAAGTTTCACTTCGTATATTTTATAATAAATACCAATTTAATCGCACTCAATCACCGCGCCTTTTTCGTTTTCTTTGTTTCCATTCTTAGGCACATGTCAAAAACGCTCAGAAATTTACTTTTTCATTCTTTTCCGATCTTGTTAGTTGGTTCATGTGTTCTAGTTGTATACACTTTTTTAAGTAGAACACAAGTGCGCGCCGTAACCAAAACAGATTTCTTTTGAGTTAGATTGCTGTTGTTAGGCAAATCTTATTACAACTTTTACAACTTTTCGAGTTATCGCTTTTTTATCAGTTAGTGCTAAATTAATTAAAGTTACATTTTGAGTTGATGGTAAGGTGAGTAAAGCTTTTCGTCGTTTAAAGTGCAAAACCGCGTATCAACAAAATACAAAACCGCGTATCAGCAAAATGCAAAGCCGCCTATGTAAAGTTGTAGAAATTATTTTCTAGAGCGCAGAAACACTCATATTTCAAAATGGTTCTCTTTTTTATAAAGCAATCGCATTTCTGGCGGGTATATTTCAGGACGAATGGATAAGGATTGAGCCAAGAGCTTGTGTGTGCAAATCCAATTTTTGGCAGCCAATGTCAGTTACGGGGTTTTGCAGAATGACGATACGCGGTTTTGTACTTTAAACGACGTCTTGTTTTTATTTCGTACTAGCTTTCACCCGCGGGTTTCGCCCCACGTCTTTATACGAACTCATTTATATAATCCTTAACATAAGAACCTACCATAGATATGACTATATCAAATTTCAAAATCATGTGACTTGGTTCCGCTGGTTATAGTTGATAAAAAATTCCACGCATAGACTGTTGCATTGTTATTGAAATTTTTTTGAATTTGTAGTTAACTCTTTTGTTGATTAATTTTTTAAGCACTTACAGTCAGTCAATAAAGTTTGAGTACAGCGAATTTTTTACAATACGGGCCACTATTTTTTAAATATTTTATTTTTTCGCAAATTTTTTATAAAAATATGGTTAATTCTACAACAAAAACCCCAAAAAGCAATGTTCCAAACCTTGTGCAAAATTAAAGAAAATTCTGCAAAATTTCATTCAAATATTGCACTTTTTATTTACGCTCTCTAGAAAAAATTTGAGTATTCGGTTTTTTAGCCAATTCGATTTTAGTATAATAAAGTGCAAGTATGAGGAAGCTTGGACTTACCATTGATTTTTGGGAAATTTGTTTGTTGAAGGTGTCGCACATTTTTTCCATATAAAAAACTTATCAAACATTATTTTATATGGAGAAAATGAGCGACACCTTCAACAAAAAAAATTCCTAAAAATCAATGGTAAGTCCTAGCCACCACAAACTTGCACTTTGTTATACTAAAATTGAATGGGCTAAAAAACTGCATACTCAACTTCTTTCTAGAGAGCGCAAATAGAAAGTGCAATATTTGAATGAAATTTTGCCGAATTTTCTTTAATTTTGCACAAGGTTTGGAACTTTGCTGTTGGGGGTTTTTGCTGTAGAATTAACCATATTTTTATAAAAAAATTGCGAAAAATAAAATATTTAAAAAATAGTGGCCCGTACTGTAAAAAAAACGCTG